TACAAGTTCCCTTCTCAGCGCTATCATCATTATCCTCTGTGTGTTTATCTGGTGATAGACAATCTTGTAATACTGCAACCAAAGAATAACTGTAAAGAATTTACAGAAAGTTGCTGAAATGCTTTAATGACCACACACAGAGCTATAACATCTTTAATGGATTTGGGAAGGAAAAAAAGAACAAATTTTCCAGAGGAGGAAAAAGAAAAAACAACTTAGAAGCTATTTTTAATTTTTTATTTTAGGATTCATACGTATCGTAACTATTCTGGAATGACCAGTGCACAGTATGGGGGGTTTTATGTTTTATATTTCTTATTTTCATAGATAGCTTCCTGAAAGTTTACACCACTGCCAGACACAAGAAAGATCCTACAAGAAACAATGATAAACTGGTTTTTGGCACCATTTACTTGTTTCTCCTCAGCAATAAAAAAGAAACATAAGGTAAGACAAAAACAAAAGGGTGCTGTTTTCTTCAGCTATCGAAAGGGTAAACTGACTTGTGTATTATTCAAGTACATCACACAATAGGACTGACTTTTAGACACTGAAGTCTTTTGTTGGGGTGTACGATGTGTGTAGTCTGGTTCAGTGGTTCCCAAACCGTGGTCCGCAGAACACTGGTGGTCCAGGAGGCCACGGTAAAGGGTTCGCAGCTAATCCGCAGAGCCATATTAAACACTGTTTTTAATAGTGTTTTCAATTAAAAGTTTGATGATAACGATGCCTGGTGGTCCGCAAGAAATTCTGAGGGTTGATAGCAATCCAAAAAAGTTTGGGAACCACTGTACTAGTTCCTAGTGTGTTCTCTAAAAATGAGTACCGATATTTATTCCTCACTTCTTCACCCACCAGCTGAAGTCAAATCTGGGACTCATGTTTTAAAGTGTATCCTGTTGACTTGCAGGATTTCTTTCTTCACCTTCTTTTAAAAAAGACCTATTCTGAAAATATCAGATGGAAAGACTGGGAATATGACATGTAATAAAAACTACGTATATAGATACATTTTCCTTTTCTTCAGGATGAAGCTAAATGAGAATGCATAATCAGATCCAGGAAAACCTTTTATTCAGACACCTTTGAAACACATGTAGAAATGCTTATAAACAAGCAGAAACATATTCCTGTTAGGGAACATAGCGGCTGTGAGCTACAGTTCAGTAGATTTACTCAGAGGTTAACCAGAGAGAGGTTGCTTACGTTTTACGTTTAAGCTTAATATAGTCCATGTGTATCCAGAGTAGAAAGTAAGACATTCTATCATGGTCACTGTGTCTGTGACCTGTCCGTGAGTTTTCACGCGGTGCTTCCCTTGATCAGTTTTGTACAACTAAAGACTATCCTGTCTTTATCTTCCTTTCGCTCTCCCTCCTTCCCATTATACTGCTGATTACCTTCAGGAATAGCAAAAAACATCTTTCCTTCACCCACTTGAAAGCTATAGCAGTGATGGAATTATCTCAAGTCATGGGATAATATCAAATGGAAACCATATTGACTCTCTGAAGAGATGACTCTTCTGTTTCAATGCAGCTCTAAAATAAGAAAGGCTCAGAAATAAGTCCTGGCTTGAAAATCAGATTCCTTTTGCAAGTTAAGTTGTCCTGCTAAGAATTAACTTTTTTTTTGTTTTAGCTTTTTTAACTAGAGGATGTTCCAAAACTTCCCTTGAACTTGTGTAAGCATTAGCTCAGCGGTTCTCTAAAGTCCTAGGATCAGTAGAGTCTATCAGAAAATGCTGATGGGGGAGGGAGGGGAACCTCTGTGCTCAAATAATGTGTCTGCTGTACACAAAGCTTTCCATTAGCATGTCATCACTTGGAATCCGTTCTAAGCAAGTCTTTGTTAGGCAGCTAAAAATATTTAAGTAATGATTGCTGTGATACCTGAATGAAGAACAATAATCTCATTTTACAGAATTTTCTGAGATTTCAAAAATATTCTTGTTCTGCAATTAAACGGAGACAAATCTTTCCAGAAATGTTCATGAAATGAAGAAATACTTATAAATAGCAGCAGATTTGGGATTTGACCCAACATGAAGCTAGATTTTTCTTTTTCTAGTGAATATCCTGGTCATCTGGTTATTTGGCACTGTATATGCACAGTATCTGTACCTCAGAAGCAAAATTCATGTTTGACTTCTTAAAGTTCTCTGTCACATAGACCAGAATAATTCTGTCAAGATTTTATTTTGGTGGAAAAGACACTGGTTTAGCTTTTATTGTGACCCTTGGATTCATCCATTTCCCTGTTAGAAATGCCTGCTTTGGTGCCAAACAGGACAGTTCTGATTTAATTCCCAAAACATGGAATGAATATTCTCATGAGTAACGTGAATATTACTCTGTCTGATCTAATAGCTGTCTGATCTGATAGCTGTCTGATCTAATAACTCCAGTAGGAGATGACCACCAATACTAATTGAAATGAAGCCTTTTGTCTTTGGTGAAGGTGCTGAAGATCACTTCTTGCCATCTGCCAGGCCAGGAGAGAAGTCTTGCCTGTGGTAAGCCAGTCGGAGATACTGCCATTTGTTTGAGCTCATTTGCATTCTAGCTGAGGGCTGTATTTTAAAAGCGCTCAAAGACCCAGCAATGCAGGCAGTTGCTGCTCAGACAGACAGATATTGGATCATTGCTTCCTTAAATGAGTGATGTCTGGCAGATGGGGTGAGAGCAGCCTATTTATCCATTGTTGGAGTCGTGAAGCAGCCTATACTTTACCCCTAATTTAGATGTCATCTCTGACTAAGTTTCAGACTGCTAACTGAGCACTAAACTTAGTACAGTCTGATGTGGAAATTATTACAAGTTCCATAATTACTGTAGTTTACTACACGTGAACAGGCATATATTCAGCAGCATATTTTCAGCATGTAACCACAATCAGCTGAGAATCATATATGCTAAATACATATTTCGATCATTCAGCTGTGAGTGCAGGGTTAAAATTTTAATTGTTTCATAGTTATTAGCAAGGCATCTATTTTTCTGAGTAACAAGATGAGAATATTGCTATGCCACACGTCATTCTGAAATGTCTTATGTTAGCAGCTAGATGAATAAGACTGCCACTGAATGTCAGCTATTAGAACTGTAATTTAACGTGAAATATTAAACTGTAGAACATACACTGTTTAGCTAGTCATTTGCTAGATCTTGGATCAACAATGATAGAAAAAAATACTACATGCTGCTGTTAAACACAACAAATTCCTCATGTACTTACACAAGACACCAGATTGATTATGTGACACAATACAATATAGGTCAGTGGTAAGAAGAAATGAGCCATGGCAGAAGTTTGACTTTTTTGCCAAATCTATCCTTTTCAACAAGTCTTCTTTTGCGAGTGAAAGCTGAGGACACACTGAGTCATTTTGTATGGGCAAAAGACAATAGATACATCTAGATGGCTAAACTAAAACTCACACAACAGCACCCTAAGTAGAGTTGGATGAAGACTTTTACAGACAAGTTTAGTTCCTTTGTAATTTTGTATTTTATTCAACACACTCATTAGCAATTCTCAAGGAAAATAGTACAGGCTCTTCTCTTTGGGTTTGATCCAAGGGCGATACAAGTCAGTGAGAGTTTTCTCACTGTCTGGAGCAGATCCTTTCTCTGTTTGCACTTTCAGTGTAATTAATTTGGGGCTCCTTGGTTCATAATCTAAAATCAGGGATTGGTTTAATTTCTCTATCCCTCTGATTTACTGTACCCGGTGCTGCATATCAGAACTATAGACCACTGAAATCAGTCTGTACAAGCAGAAAAAATGCCACAGAAAAGCAGGGCTGGCAGGAACCTTAGGAGAGT